GTCTCCTTCTCTGTAGAGTTCTCCACACAGCAGCCAGAGGAATCTTTTTTTAAAACAAATCAATTACGCTGCTTTTTGTTTAAAACCCTCTAATGCAGTGGTTCTCAACCTTTCTAATGCCGCGACCCTTTAATACAATTCCTCATGTTATGGTGACCCCCAACCATAAAATTATTTTTGTTGCTACTTTATAACTGTAATTTTGCTATTGTTAATGAATCGTAATGCAAATGTCTGTGTTTTCCGATGGTCTTAGGTGACACTGCTAGCGGTTCTCAACCTGTGGAAAACACAGATATTTACATTACGATTCATAACAGTAGCTTCCAATTGAGCTTAGAATGAAACTCATACTCAGTAAAATGGCCGTCAAGACTTGCCATGGTCCACGCCTGCTTGCTTCTCCAGCCTTCTCTGTCTCTCTTACACACACACACACACACACACACACACACACACACACACAGAGACTACAGTTAACTTCAGCCACACAGGCCCCTGCTGTTGCTGGAACACAGCAGGTAGTCTCACCTCTGGGGCTTTGCTTGGCTTCCTTTTCCCTCAGATCTTCCCACGGTTGGTTTCTGTAATCCCCACGTCTCTGTGCAAATGTTGCCTTAGGTGAACCTTCACCCTTCCCGGACCACCCAAACTAGAATACCACCCTCCATGTCATTCTCCATCTTGCCCTCTAGCATTTAGTCTATGGAACACGGCATTTCTGTTTTACTGTTTGCTCACTTGTTTATTGTTGTCTCCTCTACAGAGTAGACGACTTGGGCATTAGAGCCTGCTTGTCTTCACGGTTGTCTCTCGAGCAGTTAGAATAAGGCCTGGCACCCAGGTGCTCTGTCGCCTGGCTGGCTGGCTCCTGTGGTTAGAGGCTCACGTGGTACTGATGGCACGCAGTCCCTGAGATCCGAACTCGGAGCTACGCCTGTCCCTTACACGCACATGGCTGCTGTGATGCCATGTTTACTCCCACTGCTTCCCGGCCAGGCTCTGGAGGCCGAGTGTTCTTGGCATTCCCAGGGCTCAGCAGGCACTGGGAGCCTGCTTGTTCAGAGCCAGTGGAAAGCTACCGTACTTATAGTGCTGCTATTCAGCCGCATGATGGCTCAAACGGGCCTTGAAGCCCTAAAAGGACATGTAGCCACCATTTGTGGCCTCTGGCTTTGGAAAAATGTACTTCAGGTGTCCAAATAGCGAATTTGGCAATGCGTTTTTAGAAGCCAATAATTTGTAAGTTGGGGACTGCGTGTAAACATCTTTGAACTGTGAAGTAAATCAGAATAAGTCTAGACATTACAAACTGTTCATCTCGCCTGTTCAGAAAAACATTTCCATCGCCTCTACCCCTGAACCCGAGTGCTCACTTTCTCTTCTTACTTGTCCTTCTCAAGCCACATTCCTTCCCGGAGCTCGGGAGACAGGAACCCTGTGGACTCAACACCTCCACTGTTGCTTCTGCTCGATCGCTGTGCTCTCTGAGCCGGTACCTGTTCTAGGGGAGCACCGGCCTCATCACGCATGCCTTGTGCCCCTCGTTAGCTCACCCTGATCTCTTCGCAGCTTGTGGCTAGAAAGCCCCTCATGAGTCCGTCCTTCAAACCCCGGAGCCGCTCATTACACTGCAGGGAGGGCAGGAAGGCAGCTGGCTCCTCATGTGTCCTTGGTGACCCTCGGCCTAGGGGACGGGAGGCTGAATCCACGCTTTCAGTCGCTGGGGAAAGCACACGGGAGGTGGGGAGAGAAGCCATGTGGGATGTCTTTGCTTGTAGAGGCGGAGAAGAAGCGGGAGGCCAAGCAGCGAGCCAAGGAGGAGAAGGAGCGGGAGGTGCGGAAGCGGGAGAAGGCGGAAGAGAAGGAGCGCCGGAGGAAGGAGTACGATGCCCTCAAAGCATCCAAACGGGAGCCAGAGAAGAAACCCAAGAAGGAAACAAATCAGGCATCGAGTAAGCGTTCCCTTGGTTGTAAGGCTCCGACAGGGGCAGTGGGGAGACGCACGGGTGTGTGCAGGCGTGGGTGAACGAGTGAGCTTGAAAGCTCAGTCAGATACAGAGACCCCTCTGGCCTGGGAGCACCTCGGAGGGTCTGCTTATGAGGAATGGGGGGTTCTCTTTGGGAACAAGTGTCTGGCTGGCTTGTTTCCCCACGGGCACATGTGGGGTTTTGGTCAGATGTGGCTGAGAGCATTCCCAGGACAGGGAATTGCACTTTATGTAATTACCAAGAGCTAAAATTACCAAGAAAGGTTAAGGATGCAAGAAAGGTTAGGGGACTCTTAAAAGTCCCTCGCATCATCCATGGAGCACACTGGGGGTGTTTTGAGAGCGTGGTGCTGGCCCAGGAAAGCCAGCACTGCCTATGGCTTTCTTTCCACGTTGGAACACATTACTCTCTTTCTGCTTGAACACCACGGAGTCATTTGGTCCGTGTTCGGGGAGCCATGTGGTATAAAAAACACCTTAGTGTTTTGCCTGAGTGTGCCCAGTTGTGTTTGTGGTGGTATGTGGCTCCATGTACATGGGACGGTCGTATACCCGCGGGGCCAAAGGGACCCCCGAGCAGGAGCAGCTCTGGAGGGAGGCGGAGGCCTGCTCGCCCTCGCTGGCCGTGAGCAAGGTGCCTAACCTCACCACTCTTTGGCTTCCTTGTGTAAAACGAGGATCCTCCTCCTTACAGGGCAGTGACAGGATGAAGGGATAAAATCATGGCCTCTTGGCATGAGAGTGCTCAGTCAGGTTTTTTTAAATGCTGCCTAGTAATTTCAAAACCATTTTTTTTCTAGTTATAAATGTAATATACATGTTCACTGCAGACAGTGTAGGAAGGTTCTCTCTAAATAGATCAGAAACTGGCAGTCACCCCCATTCCCAGCAGTAATCACTGTTTTTATATGTATCTTATACAGGGTGGGACAAAATTAGGTTTATAGTTGTTCCTATGGAAAATAATCCATATTTAATAACTAATAATACAAAAAATAAGCTGTTTCACGGATTCACAACTATTCAAAACCTACTTTTGTGCCACCCAGTATAATAATTAACAATATTAATACATCTCAAGGCTCTGGTCGGATAGCTCAGTTGATTAGAGCATTGTCCCAATACACCAAGGTTGCGGGTTCAATCCCAGATCAGGGCACATACAGAACCAGTGAGTGCATAAATAAGTGGAATAACAAATCGATGATTCTCTGAGCTCAGATGTTCTTACAACAATATTCATGCCTGAGAGGGGTGTATGTGGACACTGAGTGGTGGACAGTGTGGGTCTCCTCAAAATGACTGAACTCTTTTGTCTACTGTGACTGTCACTCCAGAATCCAAGTCCGGCTCTCGGTCCCGGAAGCAGCAGTCCCGGAAGCACACCCGGTCCTGGGTGGTGCTGAAGCTGCTGCTGCTGCTGCTGCTGTGCGTGGCGGGCGGGCTGGTGGTGTGCCGGGCGACGGAGCTGCAGCAGCTGCCCCTCTGCACCAGCGTGAATACCATCTACGACAATGCGATTCGGGGCCTGCGCAGCCACCACATCCTCCAGTGGGTCCTGCAGACCGACCCTCAGCAGTGAGCGTGTCCCCAACGCCTGCTCCTCCCAGCCCCGGGACTTGGATTCCTATGGAATTGGGTTCTGCTGGACACAACCTCTTTTTAGCGTCAGACCTACCTGCCGTCATTAAATGGCTGCTGATTGGTACTCGAGACCTCCTCTTTGTAGGACTTCCTTTGTTCCGTAGTCAGGGTTCCCTGGAGGAATAAGAAGTGGGAGTTAGGGAGAGGGAGTGACCACAGGCCTAAAGGAATAGGCTTGGGGGTGGGGAGAGGAACAACAGCCTTTTCTGGTTGTTATACGAAACTGTTCAGGCAAGGCTCATTTCTAACTGGTCAGCTGTCACTACATTTATACTTTTGTGTGTCACAAACCCTTTCATTCCTCCCCGGGGACCCGGGGCAGATCAGGAGGCAGCGGGTTGTTATTGGGAATTAGGACACCATACTCAGCAAATCTAGCCTAAATCGGAGGGGAGGGGCATTCCTATTTTCTTAAGGACCTCAGGCATTCAGACATGTTAATGACCACGCAGTCTCAGGCTCAGAAGGGGACTTCTAGACCATGCAGTCCAATAGAACACTGGCAGATAAGGAACTTGAGACCTCCCATGACTTGCTTATGGTCTCCCAGCTGTTTTGAGGGAATGGGACTCCCACTCTAGTATTCTTTCTTTTCCATCATCTTTCCTTCCTTACCATGTCCTGAGAGACCAGAATGGTATCTCTCAGCCAGAGTGTGGAATCTTTCATGTAGACAGATTCATGGCCCACAAGTAGAAACCTCATAGCCTTGAGGGACTTGGGCAGCTCCTGTAGAATCCTGTCCCAACTCATGTGGCTTCCATACAATGCCTCGATTTTAGAGCATTAACTTCCCCATTGCCAGTAAACCAGACGTAGCCTCTGTGACAGCTGTTAGGAGTTGGTGTGACTACCTCCAAGGCAACCTGAACACTCCAGTGTCAGAGACTGAGGTTCAGAATTGTTCGGTTCCAGCCCCAGAACTTACCTAGGCAGCGAAGGGAATCGAGGAGCATCGAGGCATTTAAATGGGGTCAGGAACTCCATTGACTTGTGCAATTAAGGGCAGGGCTGTCACTCATTTGCCAGAGTAAGCGTTTTCTTGCTCAGTGGCCTCCTCTGCTTCATCTTTGACAACAGCTGGATGTAGGGATCAGGAATGGCTGTGTCATGGTGCCTGCTCACTGAGACTCCTGATTGCAAGTTCCTTGCCCCTCACCGAGGACAGCTGCTAAGGTTCAGGGATGAAGAGGACGGGCCCCAGCTTTCTAGCCCTAGTGGCCCAACTGGATAGGATTGCCAGCTGTGACTATCCTGATCCTGGCAGAAATGACTTTTCTCCCCTAAGGATAGCTCTGCTGTGTAGGCCCACACCTTACTCTGGATCACTACGCATTCCTTTAGTCTTCCTCCAAGCTCCAGAGCCACTGGTACAAATGCTTTATTGAAACTAAACACATAGTACATAAGAAAAGACTGAGAATACAGAAGTCCGCACAGTATCAGACCCGTTCCCTGGCTGGTTGAGGCAGCCTCCGTGGGCCAACAGGGCTGGACAACCAGCTTAGCAAAGCCAACCCACCGAGGGCACTTCACTCATGATCTCAAGCCTTGATGTTGAGGTTCTTTTGGATTTCTACAACTATTAAATACGTGTCTGAATGGTCTGTCTGTGTTCCTTTGTATTTTGAGGGCTGGCTGGGGCAGGGGTGGCTTATGCATGGCACTTGATTTTTGCCAAGAGGCAAAACGAATGCTGGTGAAGAAAACGGCAAATATCTCAGCCAGCTGGTAAGTAGGGAGACTTCCACAATGGCGCCCAAGAAGGAGCCTGGTGTGGGCCTGACCTAGGCTTGTGCTCCAGGAGACACTTCCCTCTCTTCATTGGTCATGTCCCGAGGCAGGAATCTCCAGCTTTTCACCCTGTCCCTTGGGGCTAGCTTCAGTCTGCACCGTCTAAAGAGAGATCTGGCTGCAATGTGGTCATCTGAAGGCAGAGACGCCTGGACAGATCCGGTCCAATGCGGCGGGAGGTAGATGTCACGCCTTCTCCACGGCGTACCTGTATGTCTGCAAGCAGATTCTGGCGTTCTGGCTCTGAGAAGCACCGCCTGTAAGCCTGAGGGTGGAAAATGATCTCAGTACCACTCCATCCAGTCATCCCTCATCGAGGAGCAAGGCTGTGGTGAGCTTGGGTTGGGGGATGAGAACTGTCCCCCCACCCTGGGTCAATGTTAGCTCGGGTCTCCGCAGACCTGCATGTTGACCTACAAGGCAATCTTGGGCCCTCACCCATGCTGTCAGCGAGGATCATCCGGGAGTCCCCTAGCCGCAGGGCACGGGGTGGTGGGCCCTGGAGCAGCATACCTGGACCAGGAGCTGTGGGGAGGGATAGGCGGCCACAATAGCACTGGCCATTTCCAGGCTGACTCGGTTCAGCTGCTGAATCTGCCGCCGCCAGACCTGAGCAAGGCCCCTGCCAGCGCGGTCCACCTTCGCCCCTCCAGCCCAGTCACTCTCCGGGCAGAAGGAGAAATTAGTTTGATCTCGAAGTTTCCTGCAGGCAGCGGGGATGAAGAGATTTGGTTACTTTCCTGTACCTGTCCCCTAACTGGGATCTTAAACTCCTCCTTCCAGTGACCTTGAAAGAGGTGGGCACAAGGTTATATCTTTCTTGCTCACTTTGATCCTAAGCAATGCTAGTTACTGATTCCCTTAAAAACAACATCTAGTCCTTTTCATTAAAAGGGAAGGTACCAGGAAAGTGCCAGAATCTTTAGTGTATGTTGAGATAGGGTTGCACTGGCTGGAGAGGCAGTGCACACGGTCAGACACCGGGGCCTGGGTGTCGGGCGTTGCACAGTCTAGTTCTGGTTCTAACGTGCTAGGAGCTTGGCTAAGGCAGTCTCTTCAGGCCTCAGTTCCCTCAGGTAGAAAACAAGGGACTTGGATTAGATGGCCTCTGAGGTCTCATTTAAATTCTGACTGGGAACACTCCTTGAGCTAAGTAGGCTAAAACTTTCCTTTTTATTTTTTATTTATTTTTATTTATTTTTTATTTTTTTACAGAGAGGAAGAGAAAGGATAGAGAGTTAGAAACATTGATGTGAGAGAAACAATTCAGCTGCCTCTTGCACCCCCCCCACTGAGGATGTGCCCGCAACCAAGGCACATGCCCCTGACTGGAATCGAACCCGGGACCCTTCAGTCCGCAGGCCAACACTCTACCCACTGAACCAAACCGGTTTTGGCAAAACTTTCCATTTTATGAAAGGCTCTCACATTGTGACCCAACCTGCAATGCATCCTGGTAACTTTGCCTACTGGTGAACCTGGGCCAGCCGGCAGCACACAAACACACAAACACACAAGCTAAAGCAGAACATCTGAAAGGGCCTGGGCCTGAGGGCTCTTCCCCAGAATCCCCCTTGTGAGGACAGCTCCTGCTTCGAACCTGTGACAATGGACTGACTGAGTTTGGGGGGAAGGGGCATCTTTGGGACCAGAACGACTGTAAAGGACCAGAGCCGGCAGCGGGCTGGCATTTGCCTGGGCACTTACTTGAAGGGCGCCTCAGCCACGGCCTTCGTGAACGAGCACGCGAAGTCGGCCAGCTCTTTCCAGCTTTGCACAACTCGAGCCTGGGCGTGTGTATGTAGCTGCAGGTCCACCAACGCCTAAAATCCAGACACTGGACTGGAAGGGCGGCGAGACTAGTCTGAAGTTTTTCTTCCCTCCATGTTCCCTGAGGCTTCTCTCCTCCCTGTTCCCGACCCCATGGCTCCTGTTTAGCCCGTCCTCTCCTACTTAGTCCCAAGGCAGAGCACTTCCAATAACAAATGGGGTTAGTAGAATGGATGCCCCGCCTGACACAGGCAACAGTACGCTCTTACCTCCTCCATGTCTACCCTGGACACCGTGGGCCCTGAGTTGGCCTCTGGTGGTCTATGTTTCTTCTTCTCCTTGGCCTGTTCTCCGTTTGCCACTCCCTGTTTCCTTCTCCTTGGAGGATGTGGAGCACTAAAGCAGGGGAGGAAATCAAAGAAGGGAAGCAAGCACCTTCAGGCTGAGCTGAGGCAGAAGAGGTACAAGAAGACCGGACCGAGCATCCCACAGGGCTCGGCAGGAATGCTACCTGGCAGAAGGATCTAGATTTGGGATGAATAACTTCACCCCTGTTGGCCCAAGAGCTGCCCCTTTTGATGCTAAGTCTTGACAAATCCAAACCTGAAGCGTCTCTCCTGATCCACAATCACCAGTGACAGAGCTTTTCCCGCTGTTCTTAACGTGATGTCTGTGACAAAGCTCCGAAGCGTTTCCTTCCCTCTCTCAGTGCTGCCTGGACCTCCCTGCATTCAGGGGCAGGAGCCGCATTAGTGCTTGCTGCCTAGAGTCAGCCCTCTGTCCCATGCCCCAGCGCCCACCCCTGCGCCTCTGCCCACCTGCTTGAAGTTGTGGATCATGGAGACAAACGCCTCTGCCGGAAGCAGCACCAGGACCATCGGCTCCTCCACCCAGGCCTCCTCTCCATCCTGCCAAAGCACCCGGAACCCAGCAGAGGGAGGCAAGTCAGCAGGTGCTCAGCACCTGCCAGAGAGACCCAGGTCTTCTAGAGCAGTGGTCGCCAACCTTTCGGACCTCCTGGACCACTAGTGGTCTGGACCACTAGTTGGCGATCGCTGCTCTCCAGGAAGGAGCTCACCCTATCAGTCTACCCCATTTTGTTTTATTCGTTTTCTTCTGGAACGAAGTCGTGGTGGCAAGAACCAATAACCATGATCCCGTCCTGACCCCCACTCTCCCCCCCCAGTCCTCAACTGTTTAGCGTCTCAAAGGTAGTAGATAAGGAGCCTAGGCAGTGTGGCTCAGTGGTTGAGCACCATCCCATGCACCAAGAGCTCAGTGGATGGATTCCCTATCAGGGCACATGCCCAGATTGTGGGCTCGATCCCCAGTAGGAGGTGTGCAGGAGGCAGACAATTGATGTTGATGTTTCTCTCTTATCCTTGTTTATATCTCTCCCCTCTCCCACTCTCTAAAATCAAATTTTTTTTTTTGGGGGGGGGGAGAAAGAAAGGAACATTCACAAGTTGAAATGAGCTGAGAAATTTATGAGATCCAGACAAGAGAGCAAAAATATAATGTTTCACCTATAGACTCTTGAAAATGCAGGGTCAAGTATTTTGGATTCGCAGATAAAGAGGAGTGGAAGGTACAGGAGGTATAGTAACCTGGGTGCCCAGGCCAGGAAGGAGGATGTACTATGTGCCTACTATGTGCTCGGTGCTTGGTTATCCCATTTAGTCCTTACAACAAGGGCGGGGAGGACTGGAAGTAACCGTATCCTCATTTTATACAAGAAGCACAAAGTGATGTTATAACTTGCCCGGGGTCATAGCAATAAAGCCACGAGGCTGCAATTCAAACACAAGCCCGCCTTATCCTCAAAGTCCGGTTAGAGGGAATCGGGAAACCTGTGTGGATTACCTCCCCTCCGCCCCACAGATCACTCTCCTCCCTTCCCCACTCTGCTCTCTGCCCCTCAGGGTGATCTCTGCGGACCATGTCACCAGGTCCACATGCCCCTGGCTGGTGGCCCTGGGGGTTAGAGGGAGGGAGGAGAGTAAACTCAGGGTATCTCTTTCCCTGGCTCCCTCCCAACAGGATCACCTAGCATTTGCTATGGCTTAGGTGGTCTTCTCTACATTTCCCTCCTGGATTCCAGGAAACACTTTCTCCCCTCATCCCTTCAGGCCCAGGCACGGTAACAGCTATGATAACCTGGCGGTACCCAACCAGAGCGATTTTCCTCAAAGAAACATTTGCAACATCTGGAGACATTTTCAATGGTCATAACGGGGGAAGGTGCTACTGGCACTGAGTGAGTAAATGGCAGGGATGCTGCTAAATGTTCTACAATGACAGGACAGGCCAGCACAACAGAATGATCCGAAATGACAACAGTCCCTGAGGTGGAGAAACCCTGACTCAACACTGTTATCACCCCGAAGTACTGCACTGTCCTTTGCCGAGGCCTTGGAAAATAGTCCCTTTATTAAATCCTCCTCAAGTTATCTGAAGTTGAGTGCACCATCTGTTTTCCCGCTGGGGCCTTAGATGGCTAAGAGGGAGGAGGGAGAGGACAGACACAGCAGAAACCCTACCGCAGCCGGCCAGGCCCTCCTCCTCCAGGCGAGGCTGCGAGGCACGGCCTGCGCCTCGATCACACAGCGGCACTCCATGGCCTGCAGCGCTCCGAGCAGCTGGCCCCCGCCTTCCATCTGTAAGAGCTCTGCAACACACGGAGAGGGCTGTCAGGGGGTGGCCCGGGAAGCGGGAAACTCAGCGCAGGGCGAAGACAGGTGCTGGGAGGACCTGGGTCCAGCGCCACAGCGACGTGCTTTAAGCATTCCTCGGGCCTCAGGGCTTTTGGTCTGTTAGCCGGTGCTGCCTCTTTGTCCCTTGGCGGTGGTCTCCGGGTGCTTTCCTTCCGGCGTGCTCGTCCCGGGGAGCCTCTCCGCTGGACCTTCGGACTGTGCTTGGTTCTCTTCTGAGCTGGGCGGGCCTCAGCATTTGGTTTGGTTACTGATGAGCTGAAGCTCCGGAGAGGGCAGGTGGCTTGGGAGGCTGGAACCTGAGGGCGTGGACTGTCTCCCGTAGAGTCCGTGTTATTCAATGTACACCTTTCTGAGGGGTCTTGGAGGGGCACGTCACAGATCTTTGGAAAGAGTTTTTCCCAGGCACGTGAGGCTCCTTCGGTATTCTGATGATCCGAAACGCTTTTAACTGGGGAGTTAGGATCCTCAGGGCTCAGCCGCTTGTGGGTCAAAAACTTACATGCAAGCCTCTCAGCCAGGGGAATGAGTTCCTCCTCCTCCTCACTTCCACTGCTCAGCACCCTGACCGGCTGTGCTGCTGTGATGGTGTCAGCTGTGTCTGGGGCGGGTGGTGGATCTTTCCACCTTGGTGATGGGGGACAGGAGGCCTCAGAATCGGAGGTGTGAACCACTACGATCTTCTCCTCCCTCGGGGGCTGCCTCCTCTCTGTTGAACATGGTTCCTTCTTCAGAAAGGTAAATACCGGCAGCTCCTCAGCATCACTGGAAGAGTCCAGGGAGACGGATGACTTCTTTAGAGCCATTAATACGCGCTATCAAATTAATTCTCTAAAAGACAAAGAAAGATGAGACAGACTGTGGCATTCAGTTCAGTCCATTAGATGTGTTTTGTAGCCAGGCTTTATGGAGATAAACAAGATATAGAAAAACAAAGAAATAGGGTATGTCCTCAACACATTCAACCTGGAACTCAGAAAGCGGCCCGCGTCGTCAGCGCCAGCCTCTAATCCTTTCAGGGTCAAGGAGAGATGTAAATGAATGAAAGTTTCTAATACAAAATGTTAAGGGGGTAGTAACAAGATTCACACACCCCTCCCACATTGTTCTTTACATCTGAAATGGGGATGATAGAAGTCATCCTTAAAAAAAAAAATTAACATCATGAAATTTATCCTTTTAAAGTGCATAATTCAGTGGTTCTTTGTATATTCACAAAGGTTGTGAAACCATCATTACTATCAAATTCCAGAATGTCTTCATCACCCCCAAAAGAAACCCCAGAACCATTGAGAAATCACTGTGTATTTCCTTCCCCCCAGCCCTTAGCAACCACAAATCTACCTTTTCCTGTTATGGATATTTCGTATCAATGAAATCATACAATATGTTTCTTTCGCTTAGCATCCAAGATTTACTTTTGTTGCGACATGTTTCAGTACTTCACTGCTTTTTATGGCTGAATAATAGTGCAGTGTGTAGATATGCACATTTTGTTTATCCTTTCATCACTTGGACATTTGGTTTGATTCCATTTGGGGGCTATTACGAATAATGCTGCCATTGCACAATCATGCACAAGTGTTTATGTGGATGTGTTTTCAATTCTCTTGCTAGGTATACAGTTGCTAAGTCCGTGTGAGAGTCATTCTTGGAACTAATTTTTGTAACACTGGAGGGGTGAGCCGGGATAAACCTTGTAACCCTCCTGGGCCTCGCTTTCTTCTTAGTCAAACAGGGATAATGCCAACACCTAGTTTATAAGGCTGTGAGAAGTAAGAGAAACCATGCATCTTCTACAGCGCTTACGCCAGCATCTGGCACATTCCGTAGTAGGAGCTCCGGAAAGTAAATTTAAGGGATTAGGGAGGGGTCTCATCCGGTCCCCTGGCAGAGTCTCCAAAGACCCTGCAAAACGAGGGAGTGGGGCAGGCGGGCCCGCAGAGCCTGCTCCTCTGCCAGGCGGCTCCTTAGTTCACCCACACCCCGCGCGGAGGCCCAGGACGGCCAGGCCACCAAGTGCCTGTAGAGCAGGGCTCAGGGGAGAAGCGCAGCCCAGCCCACCCCAGCCCGCCCCGTCCGTAACCGCTTCCGCAGCCGCGCTGCGCGCACCAGCTCACCTGCAGCTTCTCCCGCTTCTCTTTGAATTGCCACGCAGGACCCGGAAGTAAATCCCCCGATAGCGGAAGCAGAAGCTTTGTGAGACCGGAAGCGAGTATACAGCAAACATGGCGTCGGCGGTGCTGGCGTTGACGACGCGGGCCGCTGGTAAAGGGGGGAGGAGTGGAGGTGGAGCGGGGACCTTGCAGGGAGCCGTGGAGGCGGTGGTGCAGGCCGCTCCCTGCAAGGGCCCTGGGTGCGGGGCGGGGGGGGGGGCAGTGTGCGGGGCCACGAGGTTTGAAGGGCGGCTGTCGCTGATCACGTGACAAGCCCGGGCGCCGAGCTGTGGGTGGTGGTTGGAGGAACACGTGTCCTTCCTGCCTGGAGTGTAAATACAGCTTCCCTAGCGGTGGGTGACATCGGCTCCCGCTTCCCTCCAGGTTTTGTTTGGGCACTTTCATCTGTATAAATGGGTTTACTAACATTGGCACACTGAGCTCAAAAAGTTAGTCTGTTGGCTCAACAGATGGAGTCTTTGTGCCAAACACTGGTGATCTCAGCAGAAAATGAGACATAGTCTGTATCCCCTGGACCTGTGGTCGGCAAACTGTGGCTCGCGAGCCACATGCGGCTCTTTGGCCCATGAGTGTGGCTCTTTTACTAAATACCATGGCCTGCGCGAGTCTGTTTTGAAGAAGTGGCGTAAGAAGAAGTTTAAGTTTAAAAAATTTGGCTCTCCAAAGAAATGTCAATTGTACTGTTGATATTTGGCTCTGTTGACTAATGAGTTTGCCGACCACTGCCCTGGATGATTCTTTCTAGTGAATAAGCCAATAAATGAGCACAAATGAAACGTAAATAGTGCTGTGAAAGAAAGCAGGTGTGTGTATGTAGGTTGAGTGGTCAGGAGAGCCCTCAGAGGAGGTAACATCTAAGTTAAGACCTGGAGGATGACAGGAAGCTTAGCTCTGTAAGAGTGAAGGGCAAAAGAGTGATCTGGCTCAGTTTTAAACGTTGAGAAGCAAACTCTTGTTCTTACGTGAATCTGGAAGGTTGGAGTGGAAGTCAGGAGCCCAGGCTTCCTGAGAGATGAGAGAGGATTTAGGCGAGATGGTAGTGTCAGTGAACCTGGAGGCACATGGATGGATTTGAAGTCTGTTTTGGAGGTAGAACCCATTGCGCTTGCTGGTGAACTGAAGACTGAGATGAGCAAAAGGAAGGAATTTGCGATGATTCCTTGATTTCTGCCTGAGCAACTGCATAGGTGGTAGCATCACTTACTTTGCAAAGAAGGCCGGGAAGTAGAGTGAAGGGCAAAGATTTGTGAATGAGATCATGTAGGTAAAGCAGAAGCCCAGTTTCTGAGCTTAATACGTGAGTGAACCAATGAATCGGTATTTAAGTGGAGGTAGAGCAGCACATGTGTTTAATGTAAGTCCTTCTCTCTGGTGTTTTGCCCCAGCGAGTCTCAGTTCTCATTAAAACTTCAAAAACTGCCGAAACCTGTTTGGCTCAGTGGATACAGCGTCGGGCCTGCGGACTGAAAGGTCCCGGGTTCGATTTCAGTCAAGGGCATGTACCTTGGTTATGGGCACATCCCCAGTTGGGGGTGTGCAAGAGGCAGCTGATTTATGATTCTCTCATCGATGTTTCTCTCTATCCCTCTCTCTTCCTCTCTGTAAAAAATCAATAAAATATATTAAAAAAAGAAACTTCAGAAATTTAGGCTTTAGGAACTCTGAACTTACAGGCTCCAGAGACCCACAGGATCTCTTATACCTGGCATGTCCCTGGTTCACCATGGCTGTGTCTGGAGACTTGAATGCAGGGACTGCCAGCCCTGGGCTTGTCATATAGCAAGTGGCTTTCATCTCGGTTAGTATGAATTTTAGTTCACTTTCCTTTTTAAAACAAATGCCACTGAGCACCTTAGAATAGGTATGGAGAGGTCGGATTCGCAGGGCAGTGTGTCAGCCCTCTTGGTTGGACCTGTGTTTGGTGGGCTTGCTGAAGAAAGGGTCAGCCTTCTGGATGCCCAGATCCTGTGGGAGCCAGCCGTAGAGAAGCTGCTCTTGTTGTTTAAAGGATTTGGTGTGCAGTGGGTGGGAGGTGGCTAAGGAAGTGGTGGGTGTCTCTCTGGGTGTCCTGTGGCTGGGCTCTGTGGTCTGGCCCCTCCACAGTGTAGGAGCCTTGAGGACATGATGGTGAGTGAGGCTGAAATAGGCAGCTCTGTGGTGTCCTCTTGCTGACTTCTATTTCTGCAGTGTTTGTTTCTCCTCAGCAGGGCACATGGTGTTTTGGGTTTTTCTCCCCCCATTAATATTTTGCTGCCCCATCCCTCATCCCCTTGGCCACACACAAACATATCCCAAGCAGTGCTTACACTCTGGACAATACAAGGAATGACTTGTCTCCTACCCTGGGAGAAGGCCAAAGGCTTGAGACACTCCCTGAAAACCAACACAGTCCAGTGGCATTCCTGCTCACCTATCTCCTCACCTCCCCTGCCACTGCCTCCCGCCACCCCTCAAACTAGCAAATGGCCACTGGGGCAGAGAAACAGAGTCTGCCTGAACGCATTTCTGTTCTCTCTGCAGCTGCAGCCCTGCTGAGGCCTCCTCAGGTGGCAGCTCTTGCCGTCAGATACGCATCCAAGAAGACAGGTGGCAGCTCCAAAAACCTCGGTGGAAAGTCACGAGGCAAAAGCTATGGCATCAAGAAATTGGAGGGTGAGGTTGCGCCTTGGCTTTCATTTCCCCACTGCACCCTGCCTTGTGCCCTGGCCTTCCTTTGCAGAGCAGGAGAACCTGGCCTAGTGCTCTCCACTTAGCTCACCAGAACATTGGGCTCCAGATTAAAGAGTCAGAGAAAGCCTGAGGCGGGTGGGGGCCTTGAGGAAGAGCAGATAGTGTTAACCTTGGGCTTGTGACTCGGGGGAAGAGGCTGCTGGGTGGAGACAGGGAGCTAGCTGCTCATGCTGGACCACCTGGAAACTGGTTTTATCCAGGGGCACGCTCAGAGGTCGGTGTGCAGCCTTTGGGTCAGGACAGTGTAGGCCACCATGTTTTCTCGGCAGTCTGTGTGCTGCCCCAGTCAGTGCACTGTGGACTTCTCTTCCAGGTCACTATGTTCATGCCGGCAACATCCTTGGGACTCAACGCCAGTTTCGCTGGCACCCAGGCGCCCACGTGAGTTGTTTTGTGCCCCCTCCCCATTTAGTTTCTGGAACCACCTCTCCATGCTCGTATGCACAGTAATCCCACGTAATAAAGAGGTAATATACAAATTGCCCATCACTCCAACACACAAGATAGCTGCCCCCATGTGTACACAAGATGGCCAATCGGGGAGGGAAGTTGTGGGCAATCAGGGCTGCAGGGGAGGGCAGTTGGGGGCAATCAAGCCAGCAGGGGAGGACAGTTGGGGGCAACCAGACCAGCTGGGGAGGGCAGTTAGGGTGACCAGGCCGGCAGAGAAAAGCAGTTTAGGGCAATTGGGCCAACAGGGGAGCAGTTAGGTGTCAATCAGGCTAGCAGGGGAGTGATTGGGGGTGATCCAGCTAGCAGGTAGAAGCGGTTAGGGGCGATCCGGCTAGCAGGTAGAAGCGGTTAGGGGCAGTCAGGCAGGCAGGCAGGCAAGCAGTTGGGAGCCAGCAGTCCTGGATTGTGAGAGGGCAGTCAGACATCCCTTGAGGTTTACACATGTTCAGTACTATATGAAGTATTACCTAATATCGTTATGTTTAATTAGCATATACATTGTCCATATAGCTTTGGTCTGTTGTTTCATTAAAGCCTACACTTACAGGTCACTGTATAAATGAAAATGAGTGTCAGACTAGTGTTCAGTATGACAACTTCTTAGTCTACATGAAACAAGTCCCCAGGGGCAGAGAGTAGGGGCATTTCCTGGGCCTTTTGAGATCTGGCCAGGGTGGCTTCTAGCCAGCTGCGCAGACATGAGTAGCTCCTGGGGTCCCTTTCCCACCTGCCTGGCTTTTCCTGTAGCGAGCAGGTCTGTGTGTTGCAGGTGGGGCTGGGGAAGAGGAAGTGTCTGTATGCCCTGGAGGAGGGGATCGTCCGCTACACGAAGGACGTCTACGTGCCCAACCCCAAGAACGCAGAGGCTGTGGATCTGGTCTCCAGGCTGCCCCAGGGCGCTGTGCTCTATAAGACTTTTGTCCACGTGGTTCCTGCCAAGCCTGAGGGCACCTTCAAACTGGTGGCTATGCTTTGAGCTCCTGGTCAAGGCTGTTGGATTGAGACTGGAGCCCAAGTGACAGGAGCGGGTGGTACCAGAAGTCAAGGGTTGGGGTGACAACGGGTTCCTGAGGAAGAAGAGTATGAAGTGACTTTGGAGACCTGACCTGGGGGCAAGAATAAAGTTAGTTGAATCGAGTCTGTGTATTTAGGGACAACCTGGCTGGAGCTGCTTATTGACTTGCTGGTCTTTCTGCATGTTGTGTAGTGCACACCAAGGGGGAGCCTCCGGCAGGAAGGAGGAGCCTGAGCAGATGACAAGAGGGGACTTGCTTTGGTGAGGGGATTGTTTTGTTCCATCCCCCAGAGGGGAGGGAAGAGGAGAGCTTGTGCTTGAGGGTGTCACTGCTTCCCCTCCTGGATCCCACAGAAGCTGGGTTGGCCCTGCGAAGAGCAGGTAGGAGGAAGCACTCCAGAAATGGGCCCAGGACTCTGGCACCCTTCCACTGCCTGTACCTCAGTGAGGCGTCCCATGAGGCTGAAGCAGGGAGGGGGGCCGAGTGGTCCTGGGGATGATGAAGGATGGCTCGGAGTGAAGCTCAGGACTTAGATTTGGTTTCTGTTGAACCTCACAGCCAGCCAGAGGAGCTCCAACTCGCCCACATCTCTGCACTTGGCATTCCCAGATTCCCTCCCAGCCCGACTGCCCCACTCTACATCCCAATGACCCAGGTAACTGGGCTCTGAATGCCAATTGGCTATCCTCTGGACTTGGCTCCACCATGAATGGAACCTAGATGGCCATGGTTGCCTAGAAACCAGGCGTGCAGGCCACAGAATACAAAAGCCCTGGCTCTCCCTCCAAAGGAACTGTGCAGCACCCGGGGCCCAGACTTCCCCGACCAGCTCCCACCCCACCACTATCCCACTGCCCGACCAGAATCCTGATCTTGACCCCGGGGAAGGATTTCAAAGAAGCCTCGACAAGCCCAAGTCCCTAGACAGCTGACCCCACAGAAAGGTGAGGTGAGAAACACTCAGCAGAGGAGCTGCACTCACCACCCCTGTGATGTGAATGGGGGGGAGGGTGTAGGAAAGGAGGTCCTGCACCCCCAAGCCTGCCCTCTGAACCTGTCAGGAATCAGTGGAGCCTGGTCCCTGGTCTGCAGTGATTCTAACTCATAGGGCCAAGACTTGCCTCCAGAGCAAAGGGGGCAGGGCTGGACTTGTGCTTCACACGGGTGTGCAAATTAGAATCGCCCGTGGGAGTTTTGAGCCCAGACTTCGTCGTCCTGTTCCCACATGAGGCCAATTAGCTCAGAGCCTTTGGTGAGGATCACGATCCACTGGACTGAAAGTGCAAAGGCAAAATGTTAGGCAGGTGTCAGTAATGAGGAACAAGGGCCTGGTGTGACAGTGGCAGGGACTGAACCAAGAGCACCGGTCCCACCCAAGCTCAAACAGGAAGACAAGACCTATACTAGCCTGCCAGTAGCATAGCCGGAGCCCGGGTCAAACTCGCAGGCTGGTCCGAGTCCTTAGCAAGCAGTTCAGCTATTCTGATCTTAACTCCCTGGGTCCAACATGCTGAACTAAGTTCTTTTTATTTACCTAAGATTTGATGTTAAAAATATTCTAGAGAATGAGAGTAGAGTTTCTCAATGTTCACTAAAGTAGGGGCTAGAAGAAAACAGTCATCTTAGCCACTCAGCCCAAACACTATTTTCTGAGTTCTGGCTGTGAGGTGCCACCCCGAGCAGAATGTAGTTACAGAGTGACAGGGAGGCCTGCTCCATCTGAAACCTGCTGCTACCACCTACTAGTTGTGACTGTGGGCTCATCATTCCGGTTTCCTGATGTGCTAAATGACGGTAATAAAAGTCTGCCTCAAAGGATTCTGAGGAGTAAATGAGATTTTGCACGCACAGTGGCTAAACAAACGGAAAACCCCAATGCCCTTATTGGTGGTCAGGGGTGCCCTCTCCTGGCCACTAGGAAAACTTCACATGTGGCAGCCAGGGCAGGAACTGAGCCGGTTGTTCCCAGGCTGAGCTGATCAGGCCAGCGTGAGTGGCTGACAAAGGCCAAGAACCGTTCACCTTCACCCCCACGTGAAGTAAGGCGAAGGACTGCTACTGAGAACCCTTGCTAACAATGGCAGGAAAGGAGGAGGGAAAAGGTCTTGAGAAAATGGGGGAAGCTGGATGATCATTTCCACCATGGCCTTCCCAGGTCCGAGGGCAGTGGCCAGGGCCCTAAAGGGACAAGCTCTGAAGGGAGCCGGCAGGCCATGGCCGGGACCCTCTGTTCTTGAGGGCGCTCCATACTCAGGGCTGGCGGGAAGCAGTGAGGAGGGCTTCTGGGATGGGCCCTGGGGATTCCCAGAGCAGCGGCATCAGCTTTGGCCTGGCAGCAGGGGAGGAAGAGCTGGGTCAGGACTCTCAGGAACTGAACTGGCTCGCCGGCAGGCCTCCTGGGAGGCGATGGAAAGTCTCTGGGCCTCGTTACCCCTTCGAAAAGGACAGCTGAATTAGATGGGTTTTTGCTTCCCTTCTGGGTCTTGGGTAGATTCTGAGCTGTCGCCATTCTGGAATGGCTGCCAAAGTATCAGCCAAGACTTTTAGGAGAAGAAGGCCTAAGGGTGACGGCTTCTGACGCCCAGAGGAAAAACACAGAGGCTCGGCTTAGAGAGATAGAGATATATTTCTCCTGTTGCATATATCAGACTTCACACTGAGCTTCAGGCACAATGCTGCTCCAGGTTCCGCTGAGAGCCCCGGCAGAGAATTCTTCCCACGCTGCTTGCGAGGGCTCACCCCTCAGGCAGGAGCCCAGGCCCTGCTTACAGTTCTGGGTGCCTTGGGAGACTGCACTGGTCTCAGCAGGCCCCGGTGTCTTGCCTTTCCCATCAAGGAGCAGGGCATGCTGGGAAGCCCTAGAGCCAGCCCCATCCCCTCCCTACGGAGGAGAGGCTGTCCCACTCGAGTCCAGCTCTGCAGTGCTCCCCCAGATCACCTGTTCTCAGGTCCTCAGAGCCTGGCGTGGCACTTACAGAGCCTCAGCCATGAGCATCAAGGCCCAGGCTGGGGGCGAGGCCCTGGAGAGGGAGGCAGGCCCCACCCCCAGAGCAACAGCAGATGGGCTCATCAGGCCCTGCTCCCCAGAGCCATGGCCCACTTTCTGGGGCTCCTCTGAGCCCTATTGCACATCTTTTGTTTCCAGTTCCTCCCCCACCGCCCATTTTTCTTTAAAAAAAAAAAAAATAGCAGGGAAGGTTTAGAAGCGTGGGGCATGGAAACTGAAGCCCTTCTCCCCACATTCCTGCCACCCGCTGGTCCCCAGCAGAGCCATCAGCGGTCGTAAGGACTACGCCCACCTTCCTTGCCGTCCGTGTAGGTTCCTGATGGCTGTCATGGGTGTGTTGCCTGGGCCTCTGGTCCTTGCGCGTGTGTGGGGGGACAGCCCTCCGTTGTCCGTAAGGTGCAGTTCCCCGGGTGTTCTGGAGGTGCTGGCCGGGCCCTGCTACCTGAGTCGCCCGTCTGCTTTGACAGGCCCCAGCTCCGATTTGGGGTCGGGGAACAGGGAGCTCCAGCTGGTGAGTCTGCAGAGCTCCAGGGCGGGGCAGGCGGAGGGGCCCGTGGCACACAGTCCAGCCACTGACCAGAAGCCGCTCAGTTCCCCATCTGTCCAGGCCTCGAGCGCCGGGCCTGTGAGCAAGGCGTGCCGCCGGGCGGCCTCCTCGGCGGGCTCCGGCTGAGGCAGGCTCAGGATGCCACTCAGGCCCTGGAAACTCTGCTCCATGTACTCGTTGTGGGGGGGCCCGGCATGCAGCCAGCTGGCTTCATCTGGGGGTGCAAGAGCCTGCAGTCAGCACACCTGGCCTCACTGATTCCATGAAGGCCAGACCCCAGGAAGTCAGGTCTGGGCACCCCAGTCTGTCCCCAAGTCTACTACTAAGTCACACACACCTTGCTAAGTGACCTGGGCTCATCCACAGAACTTTCTGTGCTCATAAAACCATTAGTTTATAAAATCAAGACAGTCATTGCTGAATTCCCAGCTTGAGGATTAAGTAAAACAGTAGGTTTGAAGCACAATAGAAAATAAGGTAACCTTCCCGCCCCTTCTCAACCATCTCCAGTGGTTCCCAGACCCATCAGAAGCCTCATGCCCAGGCCCTCCGGCTGTGGGGCCCTGCTTTGCCAGCCTTCTTTCCTGCCACCCCCTGCACCCCACTCCCCTCCACTCTGCTTCCCCCATGCCCGGACACCTGCCAGCTTTGTTCCCTCAGCTTAGAACACCCTTCGGTCCATAAAAGCGCAGCCTGCTCAGGGCTCAGCTCCTATACCTGCCTGCTGTGAAGCTGCCTCCTGGGAAAGCAGGGGTGCGGCTGCCTGCTCAGGATCTGCCACAGCCCCCCACTACTCCATCCTCCTCTGGGTGACCCCCAGTCTGATCCGTCTTCTCTGTGATAGGATGTGGCCAGAGGACGGAAACATCTACCCACCTAACAAGGGGCCACAGAGCCGCAGTTTGCCAACCACGGGTCAAAGCTAAAAGCCCAATGAAAGTGTCAGAGCCAAGTTCCAAAGCCAAGTCCACCTGACTCCACAGCTCCCCTCTCACACCACAGCAGATCCCCAGGGTGCTAAGGGGCAGGCCATCAAGTTCCCAGCATTCCCTCTTCCCCTCTCTAGCTATGGGGGGTGAGCTCTGATGGCCAGCTTCCCAGGGTCACCTCCCTGGCCTCTGGCACGTCTGGGAACTAGATCCTTACCTTTCCTGAGAGGTAGTTTGCGGTTGAAGGTCAAGGGCAGCACGAGGAAGCGGGTCTCCCCTAGGGGTTCCCAAAACTGAAGCAGTCGAACCGTCCAGGCCCCTGGCCGCAGGGGCCGGCTCAGCGGGGGCTTGTACTGAGTGACCTCGGTCTCTGCGTCCACCACGAGGTCGTAAGACGTGGCCACCACGTAGGTGGGGTCGATCCACACCACGGTGGCTGTGAGGTTGGGGCCCCGGGCCCAGCGCTGCATGGCCACAGGCTCATCCAATGGTCCCAGCAGCCCCCCAAAGTTCCGAAAAAGACGCTCTTTAGGGTCCCACTCGGTGCCAACCTGTAAGGAGGGAGGCAGCTGGGCAGGAGCGTGGGGACCAGTCCTCTCTACCCTGATGCTGCCTCTGACTCTCTGTGGGACCCCGAGCTG